TCGGTAGTTTGTTCTAGTTCTGTTCTATTCGGTTCTAGTTCTGTTCTAGTTCTGTTCTAGTTCGGTTCTAGTTCTGTTCTAGTTCTGTTCTAGTTCTGTTCTAGTTCTGTTCTAGTTCTGTTCTAGTTCTGTTCTAGTTCTGTCTCTGTTCTAGTTCTGTTCTAGTTCTGTTCTAGTTCTGTTCTAGTTCTGTTCTAGTTCTGTTCTAGTTCTGTTCTAGTTCTGTTCTAGTTCTGTTCTAGTTCTGTTCTAGTTCTGTTCTAGTTCTGTTCTAGTTCTGTTCTAGTTCTGTTCTAGTTCTGTTCTAGTTCTGTTCTAGTTCTGTTCTAGTTCTGTTATGTTCTAGTTCTGTTCTATGTCTGTTCTAGTTCTGTTCTATTTCTGTTCTAGTTCTGTTCTAGTTCTGTTCTAGTTCGGTTCTAGTTCTGTTCTAGTTCTGTTCTAGTTCTGTTCTAGTTCTGTTCTAGTTCTGTTCTAGTTCTGTTCTAGTTCTGTTCTAGTTCTGTTCTAGTTCTGTTCTAGTTCTGTTCTAGTTCTGTTCTAGTTCTGTTCTAGTTCTGTTCTGTTCTAGTTCTGTTCTAGTTCTGTTCTAGTTCTGTTCTAGTTCTGTTCTAGTTCTGTTCTAGTTCTGTTCTGTTCTAGTTCTGTTCTAGTTCTGTTCTAGTTCTGTTCTAGTTCTGTTCTAGTTCTGTTCTAGTTCTGTTCTAGTTCTGTTCTAGTTCTGTTCTAGTTCTGTTCTAGTTCTGTTCTAGTTCTGTTCTAGTTTGTTCTAGTTCTGTTCTAGTTCTGTTCTAGTTCTGTTCTAGTTCTGTTCTAGTTCTGTTCTAGTTCTGTTCTAGTTCTGTTCTAGTTCTGTTCTAGTTCTGTTCTAGTTCTGTTCTAGTTCTGTTCTGTTCTTCTGTTCTGTTCTAGTTCTGTTCTAGTTCTGTTCTAGTTCTGTTCTAGTTCTGTTCTAGTTCTGTTCTAGTTCTGTTCTAGTTCTGTTCTAGTTTGTTCTAGTTCTGTTCTAGTTCTGTTCTAGTTCTGTTCTAGTTCTGTTCTAGTTCTGTTCTAGTTCTGTTCTAGTTCTGTTCTAGTTCTGTTCTAGTTCTGTTCTAGTTCTGTTCTAGTTCTGATCTAGTTCTGTTCTAGTTCTGTTCTAGTTCTGTTCTAGTTGTGTTCTAGTTTTGTTCTAGTTCTTTTCTAGTTCTGTTCTAGTTCTGTTCTAGTTCTGTTCTAGTTCTGTTCTAATTCTGTTCCAGTTCTGTTCTAGTTCTGTTCTAGTTCTGTTCTAGTACAATTCTGAACTTAAACTTCAAGGGGAAAGAATTCGACCTGAACAAAAAAAAAAAAACAAAAATCTTCCTTCAAGCCCACTGTATAGCGTTACGAAACGATTGATCAATTACAATCTTGTAGTATCATGTATGAGTACAATTTAATGGCATTCGAGAGTAAAAAAAAACTCACAGTAGAGAAACAAATGAATGTGCAACACCAATAACAAAAATAGTTCCAACCAACAGCAACAAAATATGCAAAAAAAAAAAAAACTCGTTAAAATTTCAAATGCACTTGTGCTCAAGCAATTGATTCAAATTTCTAGTTTAACTTGAATTGTAATAGTATTTATTTCAGTGTACGTGTGTTTGGGTATGTATGCAATTAAGTCTGTGCTTGGATATAGGTATGTACGTATGTATATGTATGCAAGTACGGCAGTATATTCATTAGGATTGACCTATTTCTAGGGGATCTTATAGATTTGTTGTTAATTTCTGGAAATAAGAAATGACCTAAAGGAGATTTCCACAACCGATATTCTCACACTTATCATTTCAAAATTGTACAGCTATATAAAACTTGGGAACTTTTTCGGATTCCTCCCTAATAAAAATATATTATGTATAAAAATATTTGCACAAGTGTGTAAATGTGTGTTCAACTATGATAATATATAGATTCTATATGTGACACAAATACATATTTCCAGCAGCTGTTTTAAAATTCATAAAATACTATATACACACACAGATACTTTAGCACACACATGCAACCAAACATTTATTCCTTCTAAAAGAAACAAAAATTTTCATAAAAAAAGATGAAAAACAAATCAAAGAAGACTGTATAGATGAAGAAGAACAACAAACAGTAATATACGAGTAAAACAAGTTGCATGTTGTGCTCCAAACAGCCAAAACGTCAGCAACATTCAGCCCACAATAACTATGGGTTACCGACTGCATACTAAGGAGCTCTGGCACTGTTGATGACGACAACGATGATGTTGTTGCTGCTGACGGTGACGCTGACAATTCCTAATTCTAGCCAACTAACAAAGTTGGAAAATTCTAATAATAAAATGACAACATATTGCACGCAATATATAATCGCGGTAATAACAACAAAAACTACTAAAGTATTATTATGTTGCATGCAGCAGCAGTTATGAAGAAGAGAAATACCGACTAGTAGTTACAAGTTTAAATTTAGATTCTAAAGTTGATTGCCATTGCAATAAGTATGTATTATTTACAGTATTTATAGTACAGAGACCTACAACAACAAAAATTTACAACAAACAAACTAGAACTAAAGTTGAAGTGAACTAGAGCTAAAACTAAACAAGAACTGCACAAGTAACGAAATAGAACTAGAACTTAATTTGAACCAGAACATAACTAGAACAGAACTAGAACAGAACAGAACTAGAACAGAACTAGAACAGAACTAAAACAGAACTAGAACAGAACTAGAACAGAACTAGAACAGAACTAGAATAGAACTAGAACAGAACTAGAACAGAACTAGAACAAAACAGAACTAGAACAGAACTAGAATAGAACTAGAACAGAACTAGAACAGAACTAGAACAGAACTAGAACAAAACAGAACTAGAACAAAACTAGAACAGAACAAGAACAGAACTAGAACAGAACTAGAACAGAACTAGAACAGAACTAGAACTAGAACAGAACTAGAACAGAACTAGAACAGAACTAGAACAGAACTAGAACAGAACTAGAACAGAACTAGAACAGAACTAGAACAGAACTAGAACAGAACTAGAACAGAACTAGAACAGAACTAGAACAGAACTAGAACAGAACTAGAACAGAACTAGAACAGAACTGAACAGAACTAGAACAGAACTAGAACAGAACTAGAACAGAACTAGAACAGAACTAGAACAGAACTAGAACAGAACTAGAACAGAACTAGAACAGAACTAGAACAGAACTAGAACAGAACTAGAACTAAGTAGAACTAGAACGAAGTAGAACTAGAACTGAACTAGAGCTAGAACGGAACTAGAACTGAACTAGAACTGAACTAGAACTGAACTAGAACTGAACTAGAACTGAACTAGAACTGAACTAGAACTGAACTAGAACTGAACTAGAACTGAACTAGAACTGAACTAGAACTGAACTAGAACTGAACTAGAACTGAACTAGAACTGAACTAGAACTGAACTAGAACTGAACTAGAACTGAACTAGAACTGAACTAGAACTGAACTAGAACTGAACTAGAACTGAACTAGAACTGAACTAGAACTGAACTAGAAACTGAACTAGAACTGAACTAGAACTGAACTAGAACTGAACTAGAACTGAACTAGAACTGAACGAACTGAACTAGAACTAACTAGAACTGAACTAGAACTGAACTAGAACTGAACTAGAACTGAACTAGAACTGAACTAGAACTGAACTAGAACTGAACTAGAACTGAACTAGAACTGAACTAGAACTGAACTAGAACTGAACTAGAACTGAACTAGAACTGAACTAGAACTGAACTAGAACTGAACTAGAACTGAACTAGAACTGAACTAGCTGAACTAGAACTGAACTAGAACTGAACTAGAACTGAACTAGAACTGAACTAGAACTGAACTAGAACTGAACTAGAACTGAACCAGAACTGAACTAGAACTGAACTAGAACTGAACTAGAACTGAACTAGAACTAGAACTGAACTAGAACTGAACTAGAACTGAACTAGAACTGAACTAGAACTGAACTAGAACTGAACTAGAACTGAACTAAAACTTAACTAGAACTTAACTAGAACTGAATTAGAACTGAACTATAACTGAACTAGAACTGAATTAGAGCTGAACTACAAGTGAACTAAACTGAACTAGAACTAAAACTATACAAGAACTGAACTAGAACCGTGTAGTATTAAAATTTAAAATTTTCACTAAAAATTAGATTTTTCACTGAAAATTAGTTTTTTCACTAAAAATTTGATTTTTCATCAAAAATTTGATTTTTCATCAAAAATTTGATTTTTCATCAAAAATTTGATTTTTCATTAAAAATTGGATTTTTATTAAAAACAAAATGGAAAATTTCCTTTTAAAAATATAATCAAAAATATTTCATTTTAGTGTCACATTTGTAAAATGTATTGTAAATGAAAAGTAATCACATGTAAATGTCATTCATAAATTAAACACCATTCCTTTCTACATTACACTTCAAGAAGAACACGTTACATTGCAAATTCCTAAAGCAAAAAAAAAAAAAATCCATTAACTAGACATAGTACATTTCATTCTTATCAACGATTGTTAAGTGGAAACAAATAAATTATATTTAACTTATGTAAGAGGTTGGTTGACAGAGAAAATCAAAGAAAAGTTGGTATCTTTTGAAAATAAGTAATAGTACACAAAATTTAACATATTATTTGTTTATTTCTGTTTGTATTTTTATCTTCCTGGCAAAACTTTTGCTTTTGGGTGCAAAAAACAAAATCGAAATGAAATTGTGTCACGTTTGTTTGTACAACAACTATCAATCGGAAGATGATATGTGAGTTGGTTTATTTTGTAACTGGTACTTTTTTCGCTTAGGTTAAGTTCCATTTCTAGTAATTACATTCTAACAATTTTTGTTTTTATTGTAGTTTCTTTCTGTCACGTTAATTTGTGACTATATTATAAAGTTGTATTAAAAAGGAAATAAAGTTATAAAACAGAAACTAAACAATAAATTTACTTACCTTTTATGTTCGAAAAACAGTCTAAAGAAGAAATAATATACAAACACCACAAATGTTTTAAGAAATTTTGCTAAAACACGTCTTCAATAAGAGCATTGATATCTAAAAGAGAGAGAAGTAGGAAATTTAATTTAAATTAATAAGAAAACCAGGAAATATGGATTTAAAGTTGTCAAAATAGTTGAAACCTAAATAATTTTGAATTTATTTCCAAACAGCCTAAAAGTAGGCTATACAATTTAAAAACAATTTATGCCTAAAAGCAGGTGGTTTTGAATAAAGTGAATTTAAAACAGTCTGAAAGTTTGAAACTAAAATAAATAAAAGCTTGAAAGAGCAAAAAAGACTTTTATTAAGGTTACGTCAGGATTTATAACAATTTGCAAAAAAATAGGCTACAACAGAAAAAAACAGAACTAGAACAGAACTAGAACAGAACTAGAACAGAACTAGAACAGAACTAGAACAGAACTAGAACAGAACTAGAACAGAACTAGAACAGAACTAGAACAGAACTAGAACAGAACTAGAACAGAACTAGAACAGAACTAGAACAGAACTAGAACAGAACTAGAACAGAACTAGAACAGAACTAGAACAGAACTAGAACAGAACTAGAACAGAACTAGAACAGAACTAGAACAGAACTAGAACAGAACTAGAACAGAACTAGAACAGAACTAGAACAGAACTAGAACAGAACTAGAACAGAACTAGAACAGAACTAGAACAGAACTAGAACAGAACTAGAACAGAACTAGAACAGAACTAGAACAGAACTAGAACAGAACTAGAACAGAACTAGAACAGAACTAGAACAGAACTAGAACAGAACTAGAACAGAACTAGAACAGAACTAGAACAGAACTAGAACAGAACTAGAACAGAACTAGAACAGAACTAGAACAGAACTAGAACAGAACTAGAACAGAACTAGAACAGAACTAGAACAGAACTAGAACAGAACTAGAACAGAACTAGAACTAGACAGAACTAGAACAGAACTAGAACAGAACTAGAACAGAACTAGAACAGAACTAGAACAGAACTAGAACAGAACTAGAACAGAACTAGAACAAAACTTGAACAGAACTAGAACAGAACTAGAACAGAACTAAAACAGAACTAGAACAGAACTAGAACAGAACTAGAACAGAACAGAACAGAACCAGAACAGAACTAGAACAGAACTAGAACAGAACTAGAACAGAACTAGAACAGAACTAGAACAGAACTAGAACAGAACTAGAACAGAACTAGAACAGAACTAGAACAGAACTAGAACAGAACTAGAACAGAACTAGAACAGAACTAGAACAGAACTAGAACAGAACTAGAACAGAACTAGAACAGAACTAGAACAGAACTAGAACAGAACTAGAACAGAACTAGAAGAGAACTAGAACAGATCTAGAACAGAACTTGAAACTATGGGATATTGAGCACTTTTAATCCATAAAAAATGAAATAAAATGTTATATTAACAAAAAATAATTTATAAAATGTAGAAACATTTTAATTAACCACAAAATTTTTAAACAAAATGTTTTTTTATTAACTGCTCAAATAACAAGTCAAAAGGATATTAATGGTCCTTCTTTATTACAACCCTTAACTATGCTTTACATTTTTTTGCTTTCGCACAACTTTAACCCCCTAAATTATACCTTATTTATTTAAATATGTTGCCTGAAATTATACCAAATTTGTTCTATTTTACAAAAAATTTACCTTTTCTACTTCCTTATTCATTAATCCCTTTTGAAATTTCTGCCATTTTATTATTGCTATTTTTTTTTTTGCAATTATTGTCCTCCAAACATAAACAAAATTGGCCAACCCCTGATGATATAAAACCTTTAATAATGTTCTCATTAAATAGCAGCAGATTAAAAAGTCAGAATTCATAAAATATATATGGAGCAGGAAAAAAGTGAGCAATTTTAATAACCATTAATTAACTCATAAATAACCTACAAATTAATTAAATTAAATAAAATTAAAAAATGGTCCATACATTCACATCGTCTATGCAAACATTCGCATTTTAATGGCAGGCCATTTAAAAAGTCATAAAGGAAATTGACAATAAAAAATGAGTTGCAAACACAAAAAGCAACAACAAAAATATTGTGAGGGACTAGTCTGGACTGCATATAATAGGTTGTATTTTTCAAACGTTTGAAACATTGTGGGTATAAAAAGTGTCAAATATATTTAATAAATAGCACTCGTTGGCACAATTAAACTGCTAACTGCCAAGACTTTTAAAAGAATTAAATGTTATTTTCAGCCCAAAAATATGCTTCAAACTAACTCATTAGGAAGTAAAAGTATGCTTTCGTTATAATATGTATAAGTATTGCGCCTGATAACATACACCACCAATAATTTGATTTAAATTCTAAATGCAGTAATTTGCTATGGGAATAATAAGCAATAACTGCTATTAACATAATGATTTAATTAATTGAAAAATCTGCCTTCATCTAACAAAAAGCTGTAAATTTGCCTTTGTTTAATATTTTTGTTTTATTTCGACCATTTTGTAACGCCATAGACTAACAATGGTAGCCATTACACCAAAACAACAACTACAAAATCCCAAAAGATCAGAACAGTCATTTCAATCATCTACAGACTCATACACTAACACTTCCATATACACATACACTATCACCAGCATCCTGTCATACACACGAGGCAACCACGAGGTACAATGATGACGGTGAGTACATCCAATTTAAAAACCATTTGGTATTAAGCGAACGTGTTTAACAAACTGCGAAATTGTTAGCAACATATTGTGAAAATGATTCTATGGCTGCGTAGAGCGTCGTAGATTTGTGGGTGGTTTTATACTACCCGGTAGTTCTATTTAGAACCGAACTAGAATTAAACCAGAACTGAACTAGAACAGAACGGAACTAGAACGGAATTAGAACAGAACTAGAACAGAACTAGAACAGAACTAGAACAGAACTAGAACAGAACTAGAACAGAACTAGAACAGAACTAGAACAGAACTAGAACAGAACTAGAACAGAACTAGAACAGAACTAGAACAGAACTAGAACAGAACTAGAACAGAACAGAACAGAACAGAACAGAACAGAACAGAACTAGAACAGAACTAGAACTGAACTAGAACTGAACTAGAACTTAACTAGAACTGAACTAGAACAGAACAGAACTAGAACTGAACTAGAACTGAACTAGAACTGAACTAGAACTGAACTAGAACTGAACTAGAACTGAACTAGAACTGAACTAGAACTGAACTAGAACTGAACTAGAACTGAACTAGAACTGAACTAGAACTGAACTAGAACTGAACTAGAACTGAACTAGAACTGAACTAGAACTGAACTAGAACTGAACTAGAACTGAACTAGAACTAGAACTGAAATAGAACAGAACTAGAACAGAACGGAACTAGAACAGAACAGAACAGAACTAGAACAGAACAGAACAGAACAGAACAGAACAGAACAGAACTAGAACTGAACTAGAACTGAACTAGAACTTAACTAGAACTGAACTAGAACAGAACAGAACTAGAACTGAACTAGAACTGAACTAGAACTGAACTAGAACTGAACTAGAACTGAACTAGAACTGAACTAGTCTAGTCAATAGCCTAGTCTATAGTCTATTCACTAGTCTAGTCAATAGCCTAATCTATAGCCTAATCTATAGCCTAGTCTATAGCCTAGTCTATAGCCTAGTCTATAGCCTAGTCTATAGCCTAGTCTATAGCCTAGTCTATAGAACTAGAACTGAACTAGAACTGAACTAGAACTGAACTAGAACTGAACTAGAACTGAACTAGAACTGAACTAGAACTGAACTAGAACTGAACTAGAACTGAACTAGAACTGAACTAGAACTGAACTAGAACTGAACTAGAACTGAACTAGAACTGAACTAGAACTGAACTAGTCTAGTCAATAGCCTAGTCTATAGTCTATTCACTAGTCTAGTCAATAGCCTAATCTATAGCCTAATCTATAGCCTAGTCTATAGCCTAGTCTATAGCCTAGTCTATAGCCTAGTCTATAGCCTAGTCTATAGACTAGGCTATAGACTAGGCTATAGACTAGTCTATAGTCTAGTCTATAGTCTAGTCTATAGTCTAGTCTATAGCCTAGTCTATAGTCAAGTCTATAGTCTAGTCTATAGTCTAGTCTATAGTCTAGTCTATAGTCTAGTCTATAGTCTAGTCTATAGTCTAGTCTAGTCTATAGTATAGTCTATAGTCTAGTCTATAGTCTAGTCTATAGTCTAGTCTATAGTCTAGTCTATAGTCTAGTCTATAGTCTAGTCTATAGTCTAGTCTATAGTCTAGTCTATAGTCTAGTCTATAGTCTAGTCTATAGTCTAGTCTATAGTCTAGTCTATAGTCTAGACTAGTCTAGTCTATAGTCTAGTCTATAGTCTAGTCTAGTCTATAGTCTAGTCTATAGTCTAGTCTATAGTCTAGTCTATAGTCTAGTCTATAGTCTAGTCTATAGTCTAGTCTATAGTCTAGTCTATAGTCTAGTCTATAGTCTAGTCTATAGTCTAGTCTATAGTCTAGTCTATAGTCTAGTCTATAGTCTAGTCTATAGTCTAGTCTATAGTCTAGTCTATAGTCTAGTCTATAGTCTAGTCTATAGTCTAGTCTATAGTCTAGTCTATAGTCTAGTCTATAGTCTAGTCAATAGTCTAGTCTATAGTCTAGTCTATAGTCTAGTCTATAGTCTAGTCTATAGTCTAGTCAATAGTCTAGTCTATAGTCTAGTCTATAGTCTAGTCTAGGCTATAGACTAGACTATATAGTCAATAGTCTAACCTACTTTCTACTATATAGTTTAGTCTTTATTCTAGTCCATAGTCTTCACAACAGTCTAGTTTATAGTTAATAGTAAAGTCTGTAGTCCAGTCATACCAATAAGTATTCCATAGCGCCCAAGGACGTCCTAAAAACTACAGGTTTCAAGTAATTGTGAGCATGAATGTACCCACATATGTGTGATTCTGTTTGTGTTTCGACCAGGTCTATATTCATGTTCATTTTGCAGGTTTAATTTAAATACAATTTTGTCTTAGATGTTCATAAA